ATTCTCTACCATCGTATCGTCGAAATGGGGCTGCCTTGGAAATTCAGCAATCGATCGCACTACGGGGCGTTTATTATTATTATTACTGTTGTTATTATTATACATTCAATTCACTTTATTGGGGCCTCAAAACAAGTTTAGCTCGGAAATAGTTTGCTGCCTTTGGCAAAAACATGTGCTTCCCATCGACAAGCTTGGCACATGAGAATTGTAAAGTAAGCCAGCCAGTTTCGTTTGTTTGTATGCGAAAAAAAGCGTTTTCGGCATGTGTAATGTACGTGCCTAATTGATGCTTGAAATAAATAATGTATAAAAAATAGTGAACCAAAATACCGTCACCATCGTCGTCATCTTTATAAACATTTCAACAAAATGGCCGACCCACAAGTATTTCCAATAGCGCCGTGTCTCGTTATTCATACCGACATTGCCAGCATGTTGTTGTGGGGCTTTTGGCGATGTTGGCTCTGTTTGGTGTTTGCGATTCAAGTCGAGAAGTTGTGTACACACACGGCATGTAGGTATGCCTCTCTCTGTATGCTTATAACACGACCGCTTCTTTTTTTTTTTGGTCGTATTTTGCAGTTGCAATTTTCTTGTGCGCCTTCGCTTTTAGTACCTACATTTCGTCCTTCTTAAGAGAATCGACCGGAATCTCTTCAGTAACTTTCCGCCCAGATGGCTGGTGGAGGAGGGCATGAGAGGGGCAAATTGAAGCAATAAACGATGAAAACGAAATGTGCGTTGGTTCTGCAGACAAACTTTGCGCTGAAGAAGAAATAACGGAGCTTTGTCCAGGGCCAGGCATTGCTTTGCTCAGTGTTGTAGTCAGATGGTGCTATTGTGGTGGAAATTGGGTGCAATCTTAACTTTGGAAAAAGGATGGAAAATTTAACATTATTAGTTTCATCAAATTATGTTACCATGTGAAAAGGGGTATGTGTAGGCGTAGCTTTAGACGAGGTGAATAATTCAAGAGCCACATGTGAAAAGGGCATACAAGCTTTTTGTAAACAATCATTTGTAGGCCCTTTTCTCGCCAACCGAGGGTCGTCCACGCAAACCATCAATATCATCAGGAAGGGGAATGCTTCTCTGACCCGCTAATGTTGATGGTTTGCGTTGGTGTCATATGGGTCATAAGAAGGTTTGTTTACAAAAAGCTTGTATGCCCTTTTCACATGTTGTTCTTGAATTACTTTTCTCAGTGATCAAGTCACGGTCTATACAAGTTTCCGAAAAAAAAGTATGGACGATTGTCTAATGTTCTTTGAGCACATTCACATTGAGCGATTTCTAAGCCAGTACCATCTTTGCATTAATATAATTGTGTGGCAAGTACAATCACACTCTATGCCAGGCCATCCCAACAGTGGCGTTTAATGTGCCAAATTAAGAAAAAATGTTCTTTGGGTGGTACGCGGTACGTTTATAATATTTTTCCAATCAGATTACCTGATTTTGGACAAAGTAATAAAAGAGCCTAGCATGCAAAAATTGCATTAGCTATCAGAATTTAAACATTAAAACATGATTAAGTAGGGGAAAGGGCTCTAATGTTGGCCTATGGATCTAACATTGGGCCCATCGCTAAAAATCTGCTATTGATCAATTTTATCTAGATGAACGCGTCATTGGGACGGTACTAATGGATATTTTTAGTTGCTATTGAAAATTTAATCGCTTGCTGGATTTATGTATGGGCCCAAATTAGGGACACTTAGGCCGACATTACATACATTTCCCCTATGTGACTAAAATACGCGGTTTTACGCTTATTTTTGTGTCTCTTATCAGGTATTAAAAATTTCCAAACTAAATAAAGAAAACAAGGAAAGATCTTTCTAAATAGCTCACTGGCGTCACGAAAAGTTGCAGCAACTTGTTTATGACTGAAATAAGTTATATAGATGTTGCCGGAACTGTTAAAAAAAATTGTGCTCCTCAAGGTTCAGCAATGTTTCCAAATTCTACTTTTTATTTAGTTTTTAAGAACAGCGGTCAGCTGATTAGTTGTTTATAAGAAACTTAAAATTATTGGCGGCTCTCCAACACTGGTTGCATATTGATCTCAGTAACTGTTACCGAAATCTGAAAAAGATGAACGAGATTAGAACAACTCGTGGGTCGAATAGGAAGACTTTATGTAAACTCGTTGTGGGTTGCACAAAATGAGGTTGCGGGTCGTATGTTGGGCAGGCCTGCTATATGCCCAGGAAAGTGGAAAAAATTTCAACCCGAAAAAATCCGAGACCGGACCGCCCTTTACCGACTGAGCTAAGGGATATGGTGGGGCCAAAGTGTCTACGTAGTTTATAAATAGTCCGTAGTGATTTTTAGTTTTCTTTTTTCCAATCGGTCATTCAAAGTCATATAAATTATACACTTGATGTAAATTTAGGTGCTCTGGGACTGACATATACGAGCGTAAATTTTGACATAAAATGGAGTCATAATAGACGCTCAATCAAACGTACTTTAGAACTTTTCAGTCTCGGAGCACTTAATTTTACATGACATGTTTGTTTACGTCTCATCCTTTATGTCAAAGTTGGATTGCGTCACGTGTGAGATTAGGTATTTCTAAGTGTGTAGCCATTGAAGACATGAAAACACTGTTTTGCTAAATGTTCACTATAGTTACTGTTATCGTCCCATGCATAATGTTATTTATGTTATTTCTAGTATTCTTATGTTGGATATGATTTTCTCAATCCAGAACCTAATGCTAAATCAATACAAAAAATAGGCCTTTTATTATGTAGGCATTCTCTGAAGATTTAAATGTGCCTTAGTCGCGATTAGACGTTTGTTTTCTATCATCGGAATTTGTCTTGCCATTTTGTCAGCGTTTCGGCTGGTACCCCTGCGTAATCTGCCAGCGTTTCCGTTGGAATTATCTCTTGATTGTTCTTAGATCTAATGTTGAGCCTACTAAGCACAATCCGCCCTTTGTCTTTATTTTTCAAGCGGACTGTTTCACAAAATTCTAAATTTATTTAACTTTCCGTACGTACCATAAGATTTGATAAAGAGTAACAATTTTTTTTTCTATTCTTTAACACTCTTGGGTCATTCGTGACTTGTCCGAGGTGAGATTTGAACTCGTGACTTTGGCGTGAGAGGTATGGATGTTAACCACTACGCTGGGGTCGCCCCCGAGAGAGTAACAAATTGTTGAGATATTGTTTACAATATAACACTGCTTATTGACCCCAAACTCGGCCTACGGTTTCTAAACTCTGTCTAACGCATTCAAACGTCATTGAATTCACTTCGGCCTATCGGCTGAATATAAAAATTGATTTGGTCGGAACACTTCTTTTGTTTATGAGAATAATCGGTTCAAACATTCATATTACGCGTTCTTAATGACTTCGTTCGGTAGCTTTTGAACTAAAGTATCGTACCAATCGCATAATTGACTTGTTAACGCCGACAATCATGGATTTATTTTATGTTTTCTGCTCGATAGGCCCAACATTGGCGATTAGGCCGAAGTAGTTCTCTGCCCTAGTTCAGTTTAGGTTTTTTTTTTGTACGGATTTAGCAATCGTGTTTACCATTAGTGATTAAGATTGTGAAATTGGAAATGGATCACTTTCCGTTAGCCTAGCCTATCAATGTATTTATGTGAATATTCATTTTGTGAGCCCTTTCCTTTATTGTTATTGAAATTTGTGTACCGTAAATGGCCATTTAAAAACACATTACATACGTACCATTCAAGAATTACATTCGCATTGATAAGGAACCTTTCTTAGCTGAGTCGGTGAAGGTGAAGCTTCATATAAAGAAGGAGCGTAGTGGAGGCTGCAGTTTAAAATTTCGGTCAAGAAATTCTGTGGTTTGCCAAATTACTGGCTTGTTTGACAATAGCAATGCAAAAATGGTATACCTTGGACCCCCGGTAATCTGAGTAGGCTTAGGATGCTCAAAATGCTCATAGAATGCTTAAAAGTTCCAGTTGGGACCTAGTAGCCAAATATGAAAAAGAAGACAAGAGCCCAAAAGTCATCAAAAAATCTGGCTACCGGTAATTCGATTTTTTGACCATCTGAGAAAAAAAAAAAGAAAACATTCAAGGGATAGTTCAAGTTTTTAGCTCATGTCCCAACTGTACACGCCCTGTTATACCCAGAATATTATCCACAGATACAACACTGACGTTCACTATACATTTTAGCCTCAGTGGCGATACAAAAACGACGTCCACAACTTTTTCGCATTTTTACCCGCTTTCCCTCTTGTCCCTTTTCCCAGCAAGTAGGTTCCCCCTCTTCGATAATGAACGTTATTTTTGAACAACTCCTTACAACTTTTTCGTTCCTCGTGGACTTGTTCGCTCCAGGTCTTCGGCACGCATTCCATTTCTTACTGAACGAAAAAAACCAATGTTTCGTCTTCGCTGAATTGTATACGTACAATCCGATGCCAAGAAAGAGCAACGCCATAGAATCTCGTTCCTGGAGTTTTATGGCGTTTCAGTGGCAGTAAGTAGAATAAGAAAAAAATAAAAAAAGAACGGAGTTCTGGTTATCAACACAAACGAAAAGTAGTGGAAAGAGACATGAAAAATAAATGGGAAAAATAACACGAGGGGAACTCAGCATGGAAGGCATTGATCAGGTTCAGAGAGTAGCAGAGAAGGTGCATGGCCAGTCAGCCCGCCCCGCTACGGATGACCCCGAAATTGAGTGGAAGAAAGTTGCAAGAAAGAAAAAGACAAAGAAAATGAAGATTATAATTGTGTGACTATCGGATAAACAAGTTTGAAACCTCGTGTGCTCGTGAACGAAACTTGCCTGCCTACCCGCCCCGTTCTGGTCTGGTCAGGCCTGCTCTATGTGGCTCGTGTGATCCCGGGAATACAGTGAACATGTTCTGCTGAGTCACGAAAATCACATTTCTCGCGCGACCTGAAACCTATCACATTTCGGTGCTTGTGTATTTGTGTCTGGAATATGTTTTTAATTGCGGGTTCTTTTTCTTGATTGCAGGTGCAAAAGGTGATTCCGGGTGATTATCGTCTTTATTTCGTTGTTGCAATTTTTGAAACAATCGACGTTTCATGGAATAATGCGTCCTTGCAAGCCACACCATCGATGAGGCAGTGTACTGGATGTGAAAGTAAAATTCTGTAAATAATTGTGTATAGCAAGCAGCTCATTAGAAGAAAGATGAAAAAGTGAAATTCAGTGAGTTTTCTAAACATAGTAGCTATGACGTACTAATGTATAAGTGAATTACGCCCTTCGATAGTGTATGTAGTGATGAAATAAAGCTGTCTTAATGAAGAGAAGAAAAAAAATCTGCTGTTTCTAGTGCTAAAAAGTAAAAATCATTTGCTCATGATAAGTGGTATTCGGCCTGAGCAAGTCTATCAACGGAAAGTGTAGTGGAAAATATTTCCGATAGTGAAGATGCTCGAAGCTCGTGAGTGTCACAATTTTGGCAGCCGAGCTTGAAGATAGTGAAGAAGAATAATTACTACGAGGCAAAAAGAAAAAAAAAATCATATTTCAATCAATCAACTGTGTGAACAACTGAGGAAAAATATGCTGACTTCGGAATGAGATGGAAGCGGCTATACGTTCTGTGCAGCAGGTTGGGCCACCAGGCCAGAGGGCCGACACTGGCCCATCGCCGCAGCCTCCTCCAACGATGTCATTTCAGCAACGTGTACCACCCGGTGCTGCGCAAATTCATAGGTATGTCTATTTCTGAGTTAACATTGCATATTGATGTTCAGTGTGTCCTGTTAGTCTTAACAACAGTAGTTTGTTGGGTATTGATAGTTTACTGCAACATTCAGTAATATTTATATCTATACAATCCCCAGAATAATCCCTATAGCGTCAATATGTGCCTATCTCGTAAAAGGTAGCAGTAAATTTTACTTTTTCGTATGGTAATGGTAATCCCGAAACCATCGGGATTTTCTCAGTTCATCGAGCTGGTGTATGACACTTGTCCTCCCGGGCCTTAAAGGTCGAAAGTTTGTTTTTCTAGTGATATTATAGCCTTTCGCAACAAAGGCAAAACGTCATTGATGATGTGGAAGATAGTCAACTTTTAGGTCACAACCAGGCTATAAGAAGCTTTGTGAAATACGAGTTCGTAAACAGATCCTATTGTAAGCAATGTAAGCAGAAAAAAAGCAATTCTGATTCCATAATATGAAAAGCTCAGAGAACACAGCAAAAAAATAATTTTAATATTACATCCAATTATGGCCACAACAATTAACAAATGCAGTAAAAGCAGTTCATGCACTGTATTAATGATATTTTTGTCCTTTTTGGCAAGTAATAATACACCATATACACTGGAGTCGCTTTTTACGCGGTTTTTTTTTACGTGGATTTCGGAATTTACGCGGATTCCGGAATTTACGCGGTTTTTTTTTACGCGGGACGTATCACCCGCGTAAAAAGCGACTCCAGTGTATTCGACACGATTGAAGTGCATCCACTTTTATGTGATATTAAAATTTATTTTTTTCTGTGAAGCCCAGTAAAAGTAAAGTAGATTGTGGTCATCGGAACCGGTATCCGGAACATCAGGAATAGATCACTGACCACATAAAATCAGGAAAATATGTAAAATACAGAACTGGTAGCAGCATCACTAATATTTTGACTTTTTTTTCAACTCGTTATCTTCAAAATTTGTTCAGTTTATAAAATTAATTTGTCAGACTTATCCCACGTTTTCTGATGCTTCGAAAAATCTCTGGTCCCAATATTATGCTTTTTTACTTCGTGATCTAAACTTCTAAATCCTAAAATTTTCTAATGTCGAAAAATGATCGGGAAAAATGTTCAAGCTCTAGACATTTTTTTCAAAGACCGGAAATTAAAAAAAAAATAAGCCCGGTAGTTTTAGTATTTGACTAAACATCGAGAAAAGATCACAGATTCTATTTTTTCTGGTCTTGAATGTGGAATAAAAAAAATCCAAGACAAAAACTAAACAATCCATATCCATAATCATAAAATGTTATCCATGTTTCAGAAGCAGTTTAATTTATTGTGGACTACTTGGATTTTACATGTTTATTGTTCAAAATATCGAAAATTATTTTAGGGTGCACAATTTTCTTAATTTATTTGTTTTATGGCGGTAAGCTCCAACTCGGATTAACTTTTAATACCGTCCCTGTTTGGATGAACGGCAAATTTTTTGCTTAATGTCGCAATGTCGCATAAAGCAGCCAGATTCAATCCGAGGATAATACCGTTTGGAGTTTACCACCATTTGAGTTCTTGACTATAAGTCCCAGCTATGGTTCCAGGATTGAAAAAAATGGTCCATAATCTCTAATTTATCCCGGAATCCAGTGGCGTCGCGTAGCCTCACTTTTTACCTGTTGTTGAAAACGTTATTTAGGGTCATTTTTACATTCAAATCAGTTTCAAAGGGCACAGGGTCTTATAGTTTCACTGATTTGTATTAATTCAAGACCAACAATTGAAATGCCCTTAACTCCATTTTGTAAACAAACCTTGTAAGGCCATTTTCTCGCGAACCGAAATCCGCAAAGTCTAACCAACATAATTAACAGGTAGGGAAAATTATCCTCTAATCGTTTGCGGTTTAGGTTTGCGAATGAAGGTTTCAGTTCGCAAGAAAATGGCCTTACAAGGCTTGTTTACAAAATGGAGTTAAGGCCATTTCAATTGTTGGTCTTGAATTGATACCAATATTGTTTTATTTGATTACGTTTTGGGAGTTGCTGAGCAGGTAGATTTAGGTTAGGGCGATGCCACTGCCGGAATCTATTTTTTGTAAGATCAAGATTTAAGTCCTAGCTGCATGCAAAATTTTCTATGTTCAGAAATTTTTCCACGTTTCAGTATAATGAGATTTTTTCTTAGTTGTTTAGGTCGCAGAGTTTTGATTTTCTTCTATTTTTTAATTGCTTCAGAAGTTTCTGTATCCTAGATGTTCAAAATTTATTGTCTTAAAATTGTCAACATTTGTCTAAGTCGATCGTTTTTCTCTCATTCAAGAACATTTTTCAATTCTCATCAATATTTTTTGGTTTAATCACAAATTTAGCGATCTATACCTAAAATCAAACTGTTTGTTTAAAAAATATCAAGGGTGAAAAATAAATGCAAGCTGTGGGGAAATACAGGTTAGAATTGAACCGTGCTCTTGAGATCAAATTTATGGAATCCTCAAACCATTTGTTTCATTTTAAAGTAGCACGAAAAATGTTAGGTTTACGGGCTGGAAAGCGCCTAAGAACGTTTGCAGAACAACTTTTTGCATGCATAGTACAGCACTTTGCAAAGAGAGTGTGGTTTTCCAACTTATCATGGAGTAGTAATCCGCACAAAGAGCGTTGGGAAAAATCATATTCCGTGCGGTGCAGAGAGCGAATCAAATACAAAAGGCAACTAATGTCTCCTCCGTTGCTTAGCACTATAGCATGCATAGGAGGAGATCAAGAAGCAGAGGACCAAGAAGCACTTTGGCTTTCTGCAGGGGTTCTCAATTGCAATCCTACACTTCTCCTACAAATATGCGATGGCTACACTTAGTGCGTTTTCGTTATTTGTGGGTGTGTGTCTTTGTCTTCTCGGCTGCTACGCACTTACATAGTGAGAAAGGTTAGCAAACTTCGTGTTTGTCTGTCTTTAACTTTGTGGATTCCATAAAAATTTCTCGATGTGGGTCGCAATCAACGAAAGTTTGGAACGGTATCATTCCGAGCAATATATGTCACTATTGGCATTTGTTTTAATGTTGTAATTTAAAGCTTTTAAAGTCATTATTTTGTCGCTATTTTTGTTATTTTAGGTTCTGATGTTACATGATGCGTCGTGTGCTTAGTATTATGAGAAACGCGATTGTGATCATTGGAATCTGTATACGGAACATCTGGAATTGAATAGACAGAGTTACATAGAATCAAGAAATTTTGTAAAATATTCACAGAATTAGTTCATACACATCAATCTGATGTGACACGATGAGTCGAGTGCATCCGCGCTAGGTTACTGAAAGCAAAACATAATCATTAATTTTGTTCTCATGACAGACATTGTCACTTATATATTGTAGCCAAATATGACTTCTTACGGCACCGATTCTTAGTGGCCAACCGGGTCAAAATCTTTATGCTACCAGAACCTGAAAGTTAAGACTAACAAACAATTGGATTATAAAAGTATATACATTTAATAAAAACCTTTACCCAAATCCAGGTAGAAATTCGACTTAATATGTGTGTGTGTTTGAACCTCCCTCCCCTTGGCTAGTTTTTAACCTGGACGTTGGTTGGCAGGCCTAATCTTATGCTTCATAGTGGATCATTGGAGACGGTTGGTTTAGGTCCGGCATCGTTGGCTCATGCCGCGGTAGAATAGCGTCATGAGCATGCGATGAGGATTACTGAGTTTCCCCTCTCTGATGAACCACTGCATGAGAAAACCAAAGATCTACATCTAGCAATGATAGTATCACACTTGTTACTCCTCTGTTTGAGAGCCGCGTCGTAGTACGCTTACGTATAGGCACTGACGTTGGGTGCGATACTGGCGGGTTTTTCCGCAAATCACTGTTATTTTATTTTATTTTTCACATATAGATTTATTTGGGTTTGCACGGTAATTAAACTATTGAAATATTTCAGAAAGTGCCCTTCTTCTATTTGCGTGACAAGCTTTCATTGTTGTTTTCATTGAGGAATTATTCAGGGAACAATGATAAACACCATTTTTGTACATGGTATTGTAACCAATCTTATACGTGCTTAATTTTGATTTGGGATAAGTGTTTGAACTATGGCTCGGGATTTCCTTTGTGGCGTGCTTCTATTGTGACATATCCATACGTAATTTTCTGGGACGACATAGTGGAAACGTGTGAGCGTAGTTGGAGCATATACCCTATATAATTTAAAAAATTAGTTAGGAAACTAACTTCAGAGTGAAGCATTTTAGTCACTTGAAGGTGTCACCTAGGACGAACTAATATATAATAAATATAGGTTAAAGTCAAAAAACATCTTGAAACACGTTAAATTTTAGATTACATGCACAAGTACAGGTACTTAATAAAGCATGGGTTATAATTGATTAGGTAGATTAGAGCTTTCAATATTTTTTTTTTAATTAGGCTAATGAGATATCATAATCATCAAACGAACTGAAATAAGAAAATTTAGACAGCCCAATAACATTAAGTAGATTAACAAAAAAGTTAGGATGCGGGGGGTCCGCTTAGGGAAGCAACTAGCCTTTAAAGCAACTGGCAACTAGCCTTTTCATATATTGTCTGTTTATTTTGATGGTTGTTTTAAAATATCAATTTGATATACATAATGAATCAGTGGGAGATGAATTTTAGGTTTCTTTACATTTTGCAGCACAAATCTAGTACTATGTGTCATTTCCTCAAAACCCCCAATAACCGACCTCTTCAATCCCTTCATTTTCATTTTCCCATGGCGTTCAAGTGGTCCGCATAGACTATTCGGCCATTATCCTTCCTTTATCCTCGGCTTTAGATTGACTTGCGCTCCCATTGCCCCATCAAAGGCCATACACAAAATGAAAATGAAAATATATGTGTGTGTGTGTTCAACCTAACTCCCACTGTCCAAGAGAGAGAGAGAGAAAGATTATGGAAAAAATCTGTTAACAAATATTTGTCAAAGTAATGATAATTGCAGGGCTGTTACAACAGGAGCGGATAT